GAAATCGCGCTCTTAGCGCTACATCGACTCAAAAGAAAGTTTTTAAGAAAGTTTTTTGAAAGTTTTCAGAGAATTGTAACGATTGGTTCAATAAATTCTTAAAATCGACTCAGTTTTGTTACTTTTCGGGCAAAGCCTGTTTTTACTACTAAGTAAATCATGCAGAATATTGAAAATCTGAATGGTGGAATTTTTCCGCTATAAAAAAAAATCCCGAAAATTTCCGTAAAATGATGACTTTATTGATAAGACAATAGTGCATATAAGAATTATGTACGGTTATGGGGCTTTATTTTTTCCAATAAAACTCTACAACAAATTATTATGGTTTTAATGATTATAATTATTAAATAAATATTGCAAACAAATGTACCGTGCCCATAAATTATTGCGCAAGACTGTAAAATGCATGTGAATACACTAAATAAGTAAAATTAAAAAAAAGTACTAAAATATTTGTGTATTGATAGAACTTTGAATTCTCTCGCTGTCACTTTCGTTGTCGATCATGTGGTTCGCAGTTCGTGTGATCAGCCGTATGACGCGAACCTAAATATTGATATGCCAACACATATGTACATACACCCATACGAGCGTATGTGTTGCTCGTGGTGATTAACTTTTTTGAAAAGTTTCCTAATCGCCCACAAAGCGAGTAAACATAATTCATTCATGCGGTTGATGACGTAGCAACAGAGTCACACAACGGCAATAAAATTAAAATGAYTTGTCGGCATTTGCGCAACGCTAATATTGATAAAAGCGCTGACAATTGACAAACTGTGCGGTAACACGGTAACACGGAAAGCGAGCAATCGGATCTCGTGCTTGTCGCCGGTATTACTCAACAGCAACGCTTTGAATGGAATAAGTGCTCTCTGTACAAGYATTAAGCGATCGCAGTATTAGGAAATTTCGAAAGCAGATTGTTGTTTGTAGCACCGCATATGGAACAACAATAACAACGCGCGCTGCCAACAAGGAGTACGCTTAATGTCCAAGGTCAGCGCTTTTGGGGGGCGCGCGTGCGGCTACATCAACTCGTGACGGCGAGCCGGTGAGATGTAATTGAAGAAAGGTGACACTGATTTTCACGTGCGCTCATCGCCTGGCTTTGCTTGCCACCTGAGCGTTTTCGCATATGGAGCGCATTGAACCGTCCGCGAAARCGTACATGAGCTTAGTCACGTAGGCCCTGAAACTGAAACTATGCCAATGATGGACTRCGAATTGCACACAAATATAAATACATAATTCGCTGTTGAATATAATTGCCATTTCGTTTGCGCTGAGCGAGCGCAATTTTTCATAAACAAAATTCAGCTCATATATTTATTCATTTGAGTGTTGTTTTTGCGAAGCTTTCTTTTGCTTCTTTATAGCGCGCGTTTGTTGTTTTATACACCAGCTGGTGTGGTGATAACTGACGCGGAGATAGCCACACGCCCGCGCCCGCGCCCGCGTCCGCGCCCGCGCCTCTTATGTGGGAATTCCGTTCCGCCTCTGTCCGAAGCTATTGTATTTCATGGTTATCGGCGTTTGCCGCAAGCTTCACACAATCGCCGTAGCTATTAATCAAAATCGAATGCGAATTAATTTACTTGAGCCTATTCATCATCTAGGTTCATTTGTTATGGTGTGAAGATAATCGCCTATGAAAAGTTGCGCGGTCGACTGCGACCAGCTGTCTATAGGTTTGATTGTTTTGCACAGCTTGCCCATTCAGACCTTTTATTGAGTAATAATAAAAAAAAAAAAAAATAAACGGATGGAAATTACCCTTGATAATGAACTTCTAGAAATTTTTTGGAATATATACTATATGTAATAGAACAATGTTTGTTTTTATATATTTTAAGTCAGGCRTCTTTAAAGCAATAAGACAACCAGCTGACATGATCAGGGCCCAGYTCATCACTTTGATCACTATGCTGTAATACTTTATGTTTCCAGATTAATTTGTCTATGTGTTTMATAGGCTTGATCTAGACAATATGGRCYGATAAGTACTTTGTCTRACATTTTAACAGACTCTTGAATTATGAGGTGAACCAGAGYAATGTAGAGACCATAAACAAGGATTCGTCGCGCCTTGGGTACTACGTTTCTGTTTACAGCTATATATTTGAAAAGAATTTGTATATGTATTGGAAGCTACTGTGAAATTGGTACGCAATTAAGAGGCAGATGTCACTCTCGACGAATAAAAATTACAAACTAGAAGTCGCTCATGAATCCCGGCCTATTATAGAAACATTGACGTTGATAACCTAAGATTTTAGATGTGACACTTGAGAGCCTGCGCTCCTATACTCCTCACGCATTCAATGGAAAAAACCAAGAGCATAGCGCCCTGTATGCTCTTGGGCTGTGCAACTGGCGAGACCTCGTTAAGAATATAGGCCATTGACGAAGTTGTGATAATAATAATAAGAGCTATTTGATAATAGTTATTTATTGCTTAACTTAATATTCGACAATAAGAGTTGAAGAGTAAGCTTTTAGTCTTGCCTTAGCAAGTAATACCCTCACACCATTAAGTACTTTCAAATCGCAAAATCTATATAATCTGTATCAGCTCAGCTATCAATTCAGTTTRCATAACACATCGATTGCACAAAGATCAATATTATCTCTGACATCATCAATATCGAATTCTTCTTTTTAATCATTTTTTAAAAAGTAAAATTTCTTGCCTTCAACAGACCCACGAACAATCCAATTAGCGTAAATTCTGAAGTACATCTGTAAACTTTCATGTAGCCTCCGCTATATACACAAGCCTGTGTATATATATATTTTTTTTGTACATATGAATGTATATGCGTATACAGGCTTGAAAATAGCTGATTGTTGTGCTCTATTAGTTTGTTTATTTGCATTAAGTTATTTTGTATACTTTTCACGCCACTTTCGCGAATGCTTAACAACTTTAATAAATATGTTTTTGTTATTTTGTCTGTCCGAATAGAAGCTACACAACAATATTTTCCCAGAAAACAGGCAAATACATTTCTTTTCTCCGAAATAATTAGTTAATTTAATGAAAACCTCAAGCTGTATTGTTATAAATACGCTAATTGCAACAATGTTGTGCAACATTTGGTTCAGCAACATTTTGATTGAGTCAACTATTGTATATCGCGCATAGACTAGGATGCAGTTAGGTAATAGGTAGGTAGAATGACTGTCTAACGATGCAGCTAAGTCTTTGGGAAGTTCATTGTGAGACCGGCTGGATTAAAATTCTCTCACTCTACATATTGTCTCACTCCGAACCAACCCGCGCTTCTGATGAAGTACAAAAAGTTTTATTTGTGCAACCTCAGAAACGTCGCCAAGAATCTTGCGAACGAAAGTTACAATTGTTTTCCTATACAAAGCCTTGTATTCCCAAAGGAAAATCATTATACGACGTTTCCAGTATGTTACCAGTCAACTCCTTAGCGAACAATTCTTCTTACTAGAACAGACCATTGTTTCGTGATCTGTAATGGTGTCTGAGATCATACAAGAACTATCCAAAACATTGCCTACCTTGATGAAGTCCGGGGAAAGAACTGGATTTGGCCCATTTGTGGCTGTACCTCTAAAACTAGGCCCTGAAAAATACCGGTCTTAAGCTAATCAAACTTAAAGCCTTTAAACAAAGTTGAACATAGTTTACTCTAAAATGGTGGACAGAAAAAAGATTCCCTAAAAAGAAGAGAAATTTTGGAGCCTTTGGTATCAAAAATGGAGTCGCGTCAGTAATGAAACGTAAGGAACGAAGATTAGTAAGATTGGAAGTTTTACTATTCCCTGCCATAATTAAACTCTTCAAGAATGTAAGTGGGTTAGATTGGCTTATTCAGCTAGACTAATGAACCGGGCGTATACCAGGTTCTTTGTTGTGCCAGACGAAGTCCCCTTAAAAAGTCCATTAGGAGAATGCCTGCGCTTTACGCAAACTTCAATATACTCTGTGGGTTCACCAACGGTATCTATTCCGGTGTCTCATACTGTGGGTATCTCAAGCGCTTAAGAGTGGAATATCTCTATATATAGTTTGCCTGTTGCCTTGCTCTTGACATTTCTTGCAGCCTTATCGATCTGTCAGCCCCTTTCCAGATTGTGACCAGGGAGTATTTCAATCATGTTCCTACAGTCYCTTCGATCGAGTGCCGGCAGGAACGTTTTATATTTCCGATCTACCATTTCAGACATAATTTTAGTAATTTTGCCCCAGAGAGATCATTCTATCGTGTTTTTGCCGTCGTTCTTTGATCGTCCTATAGTCAATGCATTCGTTTTTTTTTAATGTTGATCACATTTTCGAATGACAGCCCCACACTACTCTTGGCCATCTCATCCACTATCTAATTGCCCTTGATGACTTTGTAACTTGGTATCCAAGAGATATGAAGACACTTCTTTTTGGCAGCATTTTCCACTGCTGCCCTGTTTTCAAAGACACTTCTGGCCGATGCATTAAAGGCTGATACCGCGGMMTTTCYAATAGCAAAGACCTCTGCTTGAAATATATTGCAGTGGTTCGGCAGCCATTTGGCTGTCGTATACCTAACTCTGAACAGTATATCCGCACATCAACTTTGTCAATCATTTTCGGGAGATCCGAAATCCGATTCTGGTCTTTACGCCACCCAATACTTTCTATKTTTACTCTAAACCTTGCTTAACAATCGAAACGTGGGATGCATTGCTAAACCGCCTATCGAACTATTTCCGAAGGTTCTATGGGTACAGATGGCAGTTTTCCTAAATAAAACGAAAAGCTTATTCATATCAAATCCTAGTACGTATTCCTCAAATTTTTTCCACCAGACCGTTTGAGGCTAAGTTTAAGATGAGAGTTATCTACAGATTTTATTTAGTAATTTGACAAAAAATTACAGATTTATGTAATTATAAAGTGCAATAAAATACATCTGTGAAATACTCGAATGTGTTTTTCAAAGAACATTTAAAATTACTATAACAAAAATATATCGTGTGAACATTACAACTTCGGCAATTCTTAGCCYACGGATGTCTCTGCGCCACTTGAGAAGTCAAAGTCACTTTCATTGCCTGCATTGGTCGCACTACCCGCCGGCGCCTTTGCACTGGAACTGTCATCCGTCTCGCTGCTGTCCACGAATATGACGCGCTTCTTCTTTTTCTGAGCATCGTTTTGCATGGCATGTTTCTCCGCCGTCGATAAAATTGAGGTAGGCTTAACTACATTAGGAACGCTAGGCACTGCTGCCGCCACAGGAGGTTCTACGACCGCTGCCGTTGGGTAAGGCTCAATAGGCGCTGGTACGGCGTCTAATGTTTGCTCAGTGGCAGCTGGTGCTGGTGTAGAGTTATTACTGTCATTATGGGCGTAATTGTCTACTGGAACTGCATTTTGTTGTTGTTGATCTTGTGGTTGAGTATAATCTTGCGCGGTATAGAGCGCTTCCGCATTGCTGGCATCGTTRGCAGTATATTGCGGATCGACGACATATTGGCCCGTAGCTTCGTCATAGATATAGCCGRGATAAGCGTTAGGGTCGTAGTTGCCATACTGTGTGGCATCATAGTTTTCGTAATCTTGCTGTGAATAGACTGGTTGTTCTAGCTGATCAGTTGTGTCTGTGGAGCTCGCATCTATTTTTTGCTCTGCTGGATACTCCGTATAGCTATTCGTTGCTTCCGTGGTACCGTAAGCATTTTCTGCGTTGAATGTATTCGTAGGCTGATAAGTCTCTGTATTGTAGGTGCCATAAGTGGCCTGATTTTGTGGATYTGTTGTCTCGTTTATAGCGTTCTCTGGTTTTAGTTCGCCGGTATCACTGCTCTCAATAGTATAGTTATAATTWARAGACTCGGTGTTTTCAGGAAGATTTGTAGGGTATTCTTGTTCTTGTGCTGTAGGTTCCTGAAGCTGGTTATTTTCCAAAGGCGTTTTTTGCTGTTCAAGTAATTCAGTGAAGAAGCCTTGCGCTGCTGTTCGTGTGGGCGTCACTTCCATTTCGGGCAACTGCGGATTCACAAGCTCGCCATAAATGGCATTCTCAATATTATCGATTTTGGAACTCGAAAGCGGTTTTGAGGCTGAAGGCATGCTGGAAATGTGTGCCATTGGCGCATTCTCGACGGAGCCCGTGTGCGATTGCCACGATTGGTTATCTAAATTTTCGTTCGTGGGTTGCAGCTGTTCGGCGCTTGATTCCATTTTCGGATTAACGATTTCCGAGAAMCGTTTGAAGCCAAAGCCAGTTTCATTCCTCTCTGAATTCATATTCCTATTGGCGTAGTCGTTATTTTCTTCAGCATCAATTGTGCCGTATCGCTGCTCGATTTCTGCAATTTTTCGCCTATGCTCTTCCGCTGTACTTAACTTAATGGTATTCCCCTTTTTCAAAGCATCTTCCGAATTAGTGCTATCGTCTTTAAAGTTGTAGAAAGGAATTGCGCCCATTTTTTGGTCCTGAGAGTTGTTCTTCGGTTCAGCAYAAGAAATTGCTTTGTCCATAATATCAGTATTTTCCAGCTTAACCGCCAACATACTACTGTTAACTTCGTTGATAGCGGAATTTGGCTCTTTAAATACAGGAGTTGGATTGTCTAGGAAAGCTTTCATTGGTGTTGCATTGTCTGATTCAGGCTTTGACAATTTTTCGCGCGTCTGAGTAGATGTTATATGCGTGGGTTTTTCCTGCGATGTAGCTGGCGTATAAGTAGATCCTTCCATTTCACCTGTGTCCACCATTCTATCCATAGAATACGGCATTGTTTCAGTTTGCTTGTTCGACATTTCACCACCTGATTTGTCTCCTATGGAGGGAAACTCTGTTGATGTAGCCGCTTCTGCTGTTGATACCATATCATCCGTTAGCTCGTACTCATTTSGGATACTATATTTCTTCTCGGTCAAATCAACATTAGAGGCCCGTGGTACATCTCTCCGATTTGCAAATGTCATCGGAGCATCAGTTGGTGTTACAGTAGCGTAAGACGCTTGCTGTTGTAGTGTGTGCTGTTGGATAATCGGTCCGTAACCGAACGGATACTGTAAGAATTCAATTGGTGTAGCTGTCGTTTGCAGTGTGCCAGTAGTCATCGRYGCTGTCGGCGCTCCGCTGAGCAATAATCCGGCTGGCGTCGGTGTAGCCATTGCGAAAGTCCACATGCGTGGCGTTAGAGCTGMCGGCTGTGCTTCCGCCGTGGCTTCCATGTGAGTAGCCCCCGGCTGTAATGTTGGGATTGCAGACACCGGTGTTGTTGTTACCTCGCTCTTTAAAMCACTAAGGGATCCTATAGGCGGCGCTGTTGTTGGTGGCTGTGCGGACATGGCCGGTAGCAACACTGGTATCTGTGTGGACGCTGTCATSGCAGTTATGGGTGCAGTTTCTGCTGCCAATCTGGCTGTTGCCACAGCATTTGTTGTACAGCGCACCGGTTGAGTTTGCATTAGTTTGGCGAAGTAGCGTTCGTATTGGAGCTGCACGTTGAAGGTTTAGTGTTAGGACTTTGTTAGCGCTCTGGTATACTATATACTATATATACATAAGTATGAGTTATGAGTTATAATAACACTCACCTTCATCATTTTTAGTCGCTCGCTGCGCGCTGACAACGCTGTYGTTTGCTGATCGATGCGCTCGATCATTTGCATCAGCATCTTGTTGCGCTCATTGCGCCGTTCCTGCTCATCCAGAAAGCTCTGGTACTTTTGYCGTATTTTTGTTCGTACCGATTTATCGCTAATCAAACAGGTGGGAAAAATATTGCATATTTTTACTAAATATTTAAATATTCACGCCTACTTACTGCTCGCTGCGTCGTTGCAAAATCTGCTGAAGCTCTTTTTGCAATTGTTGACGGTTCTCCTCACTGCATTTTGTGTTGCGAAAGTGAGAAAGTGAACGTGTGTATTAAATTTTGTATAATGAAGTGTGTWGTATTGTGGATTAGCTGCTTAAAACTACAGTCAGTGCGCTAGTTTTGAAAAATATTTAAGGTATTCGAATTTGCTATACACTATAAGGTCTACCAACAAGAACGACGTGTTRTCACAATGAAATAAAACAGTTAAATTTGGTTAAAATGGATTCTAGTCTTTTAATGATTTGAACAAAATGTCGACCAAATGGCTACCAATGCTCCGAAAGCCCCCAATTCCTAGACTTGGCTAATAGCACAAACAACTGGCATAATCGAAACGAAATAGAAGACAAAGTTTCAACTATTCGCCAACACAACTAATTTTAGTCATAAGCCAAAAGCATGTCATATAAATTGTGACAAAAAACCGWCGCRGAAATTGCAAATAAAACGGAAAATATTTAWTTATCAATTTAATTATATAATTTTGTTGCCATTGCAGTGCTGAGGTGTACCGATCTAAGCAGCTGCTSTAAACAAACTGGTTGACAGACCGCGCTCATTTTTGGCGTGGTAATTAAGGACAGTCCTACCAACTTATAAAAATRCWTTTTTTTAGTATAGGGTSGTCGAAAAAGTCTTTTCGCATTTCTAATCAAACTTCAATATATTTTTATATCTATAATGAACTTTAATTAACCATTATATACAAYTTTTGTAGGCGAAAAACTGCAAYAAGTAATTTTCAMAGSCTTCTCTTGAAGCCAACTTTACTCGATTAAGTGAGTTCTGCACTAACCGAAACAAATGGTAGTCCGATGGTGCAAGGTCAGAGCTATATGGTGGGTGCATCAAAACTTCTCAACCAAGCTGTCTTAGTTTCCCGAGTCATGCAARATKTGTSTGGTCYAGCGTTGTASTGATGGAAGACAAATRTTTTTCGTTGRTCAGTTGTGGCCRTTTTTTCGACTGCTTGCWTCAATCGYATCAGCTGTTGACGGTAAAATGTAGAATCRATCGTTCGACCAGGCTGGAGYAGCCCATAGTGGATGCCTTTYCAATCCCAGCAAACACTCAGCATAACATTTCGATGCATCAATTCTGGCTTTGCGATCATTTGTTGAGCTTCAGCACACTTAGACCATGATCTTTTTCGCACATTGTGGTCGTATTTGAGCCACTTTTTGTCTGCTATTACCATTCGTTTCAGAATTGGTTCGATTTCATTTCGTTTTAGCAAAGAATCGCATATATTAATTCGGTTCATTAAATTTTTCACAGACAATTCATGTTGGTCTGGCTTCTTTTTGTAGTCAGCCTTTTTTAAATGGTTCAAAACCATTTGATGATAAATGTTAAGTTCCTTTGCGATGTCAAAGCTGCTTTTGTGTTCTGGTCAATCTTTCCCATAATTTCAACGACTTTTTCAACGATAGGTCGACCAAAGCGAGGTGCAACTTTTACATCGAAATTTCCAGAACAGAAGCGAGCGAACCRTTGTTGTGCTACCCGAACTGATACAGCATCGTCTTCGTAAACTTCACAAATTTTATTAGTGGTTTGCGTGGCATTCTTCCCTTTTTTATACAATATTTTCAAAATATAACAAATTTCTTCATTATTTTCACTCATTTTTGAACTGCTGTGACTTTCTTCGAACTTTCCCGAACTTAATTTTTGGTTCAATTGGTAGCTCTGGTGATATGCGWCTGCAACGACCTCTATTGGCAAAATACGAAAAGACTTTTTCGACYACCAATATAATAAACTCATAGTGTTGGAATATATCTCCACATATCTACATATAAATCGATAGTTTTTTGTGCACAGATTTATTAATTTACCATTTAAAACACATGCTTGACAAACACTTATGTATGTATTGAAATTAATTTCCGAAAATTTACTTAAATTTTTAAAAATTATTTTCGCAATGTAAATTTTACTTGCATATATAGAAGAGTTCACAAAAAATTATACACAAAATTGCAGTGTCAGCTGTGGCTTACATAATACATAAATATATATACATATACATATACATAGTGAGAAGTTTTGATATATATATATATTTGCCACTTTGCCACTTGAGCTGCACTCCTATGTGAGTGTGTACCTTTGTTTAAGCTTCTCCTGCAGCAAATCCACTTGCAACTTGTAATTATCCAACTCGGATTGGGGATACATGTTGCTCCACAACAACTGCATTAAGTTACTCAGCGCGTGAGAGCAAAAATTTGGCAAAATTGGTATATTCGCGTAGACGAAAATCCACTTAACCGTTCAACTGTTACTGCACWACTGAAAATTTGACAATTTGTTGCGGCCAACTATTTGAAATACACACATATATGTACATACATACTTACAGTGACAACATCGGAGTTGACAATATACGCTGAGCTCATTTCCCCCTCTGTTTGCGACGATTAAGCCAACCGTTGCCTTGTCTTGCGTACCTGCAAGCAATTACTCACAGCCACTTACCCACATACACGGATCTAATTGTGCTATACACATACGAGCAGGACAATACTTAACGCCTTTTTCCGCTACTACCACCACTAAAAGCCTCCAGCTAAATGGGTTTCTTGTTTGTTTTCATTTTCACCGTTGTTAAGGCAACCAGTGGTAAGTGTATCGACATTTGTTGGTTGAAAGCGATATAAGTTTGTATTACCATATATTATGTGTATACGAATAATTATATGTATATGTATATGTATATGTATATATGTACAAGCCGAAATGTTTATAAAAAGTACTTTTGTTACTTTGCTTTTGAGAGGTTATGTCTTGGAAGGAATGCCCAGTGAATATGAGAAGCAAGTTCAATTTTGCCTCATCAAAGGGATTTTAGTGAAGTTGCAGAGTGTCGTGAAGGCAAAAACGGTTAAATACAGTAACTACTACGAACTTTTTTCTTCAAAGCATCATTTTGCCACAGTTGATTATTTGAATATTCAACAAATCGATTTTTTTTATTGTCTTAACAAACCCTACAACGCCTCTAGAATAATTTCCTAAATTTTTGAGTTGACCCGAGTAATAGTTTCGAAGATACAACTTTGAGAACTTGTGCGCTCACGGCTCGCTAGACTAAGAGCGCCGTCTTTAAACGCGTTTTTCTCGAAACTGTGCTTTTGAAGTCGGTTGGCAAGATTCCTTGAGAACTACTCAAAAAATTTTACACAGATCTTTGAGATACAATTCTTAAATACTTCGATTTGCGAATTTTTGCGAAATTTTCACTGAAATTGTAATTTTTTTTAATAAAAATATCTGCCAAAAATCCAATTTTCAGTCTTTTCTTCGTACAAGTTCTAAGGTGAGGTTTCAACTTAAACACGAATTTTTTCACTTTAGATGATCCTGGGTCACCGAAAACAGCGTCACAATAGTCAAGATTTAAATATTCTTTTCTAATGATTTCAGAATTTCTTTGCTAATAGTGTATGTTTGTAACAATAAAATTTTTTTATAAATTATTTAATTTTTAGTATGAGAATAAAATTGTCGAAAAATGTCTTTTTACCCGGGGAGACCCGTGTAACCCTTTAAATCTGTTAAGGTTCTCGGTTTCCAGCACTGCCTCAAGCGATTTCGTTCGACTTTGATCAACGGCCAGTTTCTCTGCGACTGCGGGATGCTCTTAGCCTAGAGTAAGAACGCAGAATATCTAGTGAAATAAGTTCTTGTCCTCAGCAAAGTTCGTCTTGCCGCAATCATAGCAGTTCTTACTGAACATTGTTGAATTCATGTGCTAAAGTTAAAACTATTGTTAGAGGCAAGTTGAGAGAGTTGTATGAAAAACATGAGGTTGAAATATCAAGGCACTTTTTCTTCCATTGCCTAGGTTTTGTACGACTGAGCTTGAAACATCTCACCAGTTATACCTTCGGGGTACGAGAAGGCATAGTCGAACCCAACATTAACGGATTTAACAAATTTGTGCTAGTTTCAAAGGGGTTTGTCGATTTATGAGGGTTTTATGATCATTCTAAGGTGTCCGAGTGAGATCCTTCTTGGGATTGTGCGCTTAATCAAATCTAACCCGACGCTTAAAGTTTTAAAACTGCGAGTGATTACTTTCTATAAAATATATAAATACATCACTTCAAATCATCATAACAATATTATCGTTGATACATTATTATTATTAACTATAGAAACTGCACAACTCTAGTAAAAAACATTTGTTTGCTGGGTTTCGAAGTCTCACTGTTTAGAAGACGAAACAGCTTAGCGCATTATTGGTGTCATTAGCATAATTTATTGATTTCTCTTCGCTAAATGTGCGAAAAGGTAACTTTGTGTGGCTGTGTTGCACTTACAACATATTTATAGAAATAATAATGTAAAAGTTTTTGTGTCCTTGCAAGCTCTGAACTTGTTTATTATTCCAAGGAATCGTCTACTACTTTTATTAAAAATTTTAAATAAAATATTCGTAGCTAAACATTTGTCCTTAAAACGTTGTATTTTGTGAAATTCAATGAGTAAATTTACCTCTTGAATGAGTGGCAAATTGTCTTTTTTCCATGTTCTGAGCGAATTTTGCTTCTTCTTACTTTTCGTTATTTAATTTTTTTTTCAAACTATCGGCCTATATGTATTTGTGTGTTTGAAAAAGAAGCAAGAACTAACTGACTAGGTCAGTGCGGCATTCGGCCAATTTGCATTTGTATGGCGTGCCAGCTGAGAGCTGGGGTCCTCCCTCAATGCGGTAAATGCAAACTTTTAGGGGTTAATGGCAGGTGTCAAACAAGATATTCCACACTTACTGGAATGCATTAGGAAGGAAATGCTAGTATTGTGGTTGCTGCAAACCCGCTTACAATTATATCATGTAAATACGAGAYATACGTTCGATGAACTGAGACTTGTAACCGAAATTATAGCTAGTTCATATAGTTTTGAACTACTTATAAATTCGAAGACATAGTTAATACTTGACAGCGGTATTTATTTCTATTTTATTAAAGCTTACATAATGAATAAATTATTATATAAACTAAAGTACGCAGCGACCAGCGGTATTACTTCAATGGACTTTCTGTAAACTTTTGGTGCTCAAAGATAGCTCAACTTTTCAATACACTTTATGTATGCATATCATATATACTATATAATACTTACCAATACACTTTTTATCTCGTATTACGTCACTAATAATTGTTTAATCCATAGTAATATTTCTACTTCATTACTCTTGCAGTTTACCAAAAATGTGTACAAATTTTTATCTTAGATTAGGTTAGCTTAAGAGTTCGATATTAAGAGGGATTTCACTTGGACAGCTTCGAACGTTGGTCTGTTGTGTTACCTAAAAACTTCTTTATGCTGAATTACAAGATCTCTACAGATCGACAAAGCGCTTTGAACCTATTAAAAATTTATTGAGACGGCTAAAATCAGTTTCAGCTATGTCTTCTGATTTGCCGAAGGTAAGATTACCAAGAAATCAGTCTTGCAAAGACATTGGTAATGGAAACCAAGAAATCAGTCTTGCAAAGACATTGGTAATGGATGTTATGTTTAAAATGACATTAAGTGCTATTGTTGGTATAGTCCGCAGTGCACTGGAGATGCCGATGAGGATCACACTTTAGACATGTTCAAGCTTTTTAGCAAGAGTAGCATTTTTGAGCGGTTTCCACCAGACGAATACACCAACATTGTTGGCTTGACTATGGTTTCGTAGGGTGAAAAACTACCTTTGGTATCTTAGTATTACTAATATATAGCATAGACGGGTTTCGGATGTAAAATATCCAAAAACATATATCGAACCATCCGTCCGATGGGTTCGTTTCACAAGGCTTACTTACCGCCACCTCGTTATACCGTGTGGCTGGCACATAAATTGCCGAGCCCTCAATCACACGTAAATCACTTGTATCGTATACCGAGTATCGTGGTATGAACTCAACTGAGACGCTTATGTGTCAAGTCTGACAAACAAGCCATTTGCTTACTCTGCTGCCTACAAAAAACAAAAGCAGACCAATAAGTTGCGGTCTTTAAGGTCCAGCAAACATTGATGAGGTGCAAGTGAAATATTTTGTCGATTCGTTACAATTCACTTAATTTCACTTGTAAGTAAATAAACGTATTTCACATTCAGTCCATCGGTTGSCATGGAAATCCACTTCGGAAACGTGCAAATGTTGAAAAGTTAATTCGAAATTCCGAATGTGATTGAAAAGAAATGCGTGTTTATTTGTTTTTATTGTTTTTTATTTTTCGAATTTTTTTTTTGTTGATTTGTATATATATTTTCGAAATCATTTGCATACAAGTATATTCGTTGCAGTGATTGTTGCTTCAGTCTTAATTTAGTTTTAATTAAACAATCGATTCAATTATACATTTCGCGGCTACTTATAAATAGGAAATGATATTTATGTCTAAATTTATATGTCTAGAAATGTTTGTAAGTTAATTGTTGGATGTTTTTGAAGGATTTATGTTTAATTGTGTAGTTTTGGTAATTCTACTTAAGACTATCGCTACATACTAATGCGTGTTGTTTGTGCTTGAATCTTCATTATTTCGCTTGCTTAATTACAATAAATATTATTTTCTACTAATTTACGTGTTTGTCGATATACTTACATACTTGTATGTAACTATATAATATAGTATGTTGCTAAGTGCGAAGAAGAAATTTATTTTTTATTAGAAGCAAATGTTGAGGTTAGGAATGCCATGAAATCAGTTGTTTTTATATTTATTCGATAACGAATTGGCGTGGGTTTCCTGATCATCACGCTGTTCATTTATATATAGCAAATGATTCAAGTAGAGTTACCTTTTTAATGGCCTTTCTTCTGACAGATCACAGACGAGTCGTGTCAAGCTGTCATGTTTTTTTAACATTTCATCATGGAAAGTTAAGCTCTGCACAAGGTTTACAAATTGTGAGACTTAATTGCGAAAATTCACGTTCTGTAAAGAATGTGTTTCGCGACTTCGCTCAAGACATGGCTACGCTCTATGGGGTCTTGAAATGTTCCAAGAAGATCCGACGTTTTCGAAACAAATTTTGTTCAGCGATGAGGCCCATTTCTGGTTCAATTGGTGTGTAAATAAGCAAAGTTGCAACATTTGGAACGAATATCAACCTTATGAGATTCAAGAACTGCCATTTCATCTAGAAAAGAYAGCGGTTTGGTGTGTTGTGTGGATCGGTAGTACCTACACTTGGTCCATTTTTCTTCATAAATTATACCGGTGAGTACGTAACCGTCAATGGCGACCGTTATAGCGCCATGATAAYCGACTATTTGATAGCTAAAATTGAACTTTGTGATCTGGGCGACATTTGGTTTCAATAAGACGACGCCACYTWGCATACATCGCATCAATCAATAGATTTATTGAGAGAACACTTCGGTGAACAGATAATTTYACGTTTTGGGCTGCTCGATTGGCCACCAAGATCATGTGATATCACACCGTTAGACTTTTTCCTGAGTTCCATATAAATTTTAAAGTCTGTGCGAACAATCYGGCTTCGATTCAGATCTTGGAGCAAAACATCATGCGTGTTACTCGCCAGTTACCAGTCGAAATGCTCGAACGAGTCATCGAAAATTGAACTCAACGGATGGCCAACATTTGAAAGAGATAATCTTCAMAAAATAAATGYCAAGGAATGTACTTTCGAATCATAATAAGCATGCCCCATTAAATTCGAAGTTTCTGTGTTTTTTCTTTAAAAAAAAAAAAMGTAGGGAACTTCGAAATGGATCGCTGTTTAAGTATATGCTCTAAGTGTAGTGCTCTAGCCATCTTCAGCAACAATTTCGTGTGAAAAAATAATTTCTTCTTCGTCAATAATATTGTTAATATCCGTATTAGTTTAACACTAGGAGGTTTATGAAAGACTGGTTACGTAATTATTTACTTACTTACCTAACGGGTATTTAAGTTATATGYGAGTGTGAAATATTTACAAAATGCTTAAGACAATGAAGCTATGGCTAAGTAGCGAATTAAAGTAGCTGTAAATTTCCTTTTTTTGTATTTGAATATGCAGGAACCTTCAAGTATAAGCTTAAAACTATGGTTTTTATTTAAAAGGTAATTTCTATTTATTTTAAATTCTACTTTTTTGTTATTTTAAACTATTTTCAATTATTGTTATTTTTATTTAATTTACTATTATTACTTCCTGTGTACCRCTAGGTATGTAGAACGTATTTTTGTACATTTTTTATGCTAAACTTAAAACGCTCATTTTGTAAATTCACCGTTAGCATCGCTTACATTTTCGTGCTTTTCGAATTTGGCTAAAAAAAAAATTGCGAAAATTTTATAGAAAATGTGCGAGCTTTTATTTTTAATGGCGTGAGATTTCAGTGACTTTTTCTAAATTTCTCAACATTTCAATTATGTAATGCAAAGTTGACTAATTTGTTTTAACTTTCTTTGAGTGATCATAAATTATTGTAATTTCAATGAATACAACAACATACGCGTAAATGATGACATGGCAAATGRGTAGCGGGTAATCGGTACATTATACGTAGAGCTACACTACAATCACAACTACAATAGCAACAATTGCGCTACTTATGAACGTGTTTGCTTGTAAATTTAGAATTTCGTATTTTAGCTTGTCCAATTATCATTATAATTTTGGCCAATAACCGTTACGTTCGTCGCCGTAGCGCCCAGTGTGTCAGCCAGTACAATGCAAGTAATTTCCATAGACCAATTGGCAGGCTAAAAGTGGGTGAGAGAAGAGAGAAATTGAGCAATGTGTTTTGGGTGGCCGGTAATAAGAAGCAATAACTTATTTAAAGCAACAACAAAGCATACAAATTATTTGAAATTGTAAATTTTAGTTTTTAATAAAAATAACGAAAGAATAGTGAATAAAATAAAAATAAAATGTATAAAAATTGTTTGTCATATTATACAACATGCATGCAAAGCAGTCACAAAGGCATAACGACATAAAAATAGTAAGTAAATATGTGTAAGTACATGCAAAGCAGATAAAGAACGAATAAAATGAAATGCATAGAAATTAAAAATTAATAAAATGCAACTTGACAAGCAACTTACCATTTCAATAAAAGTCATTATATTTGAAACACCCTTAACAAAAAAGCAGAAAAGCAAAAACATACACATCAAAGCTATGAAACAAACAGTTAATGCTACACAATCGCACACAATACAGCAATAATGTTTTTTTTTTATTCAATATCTTTGTATTACGAAACATACAACTCAAAGATTTTAGAAGTATAACGAAGAACCTCTGGCAATACGGTATTTTATACGCTTTACAAATAAAAAATGTTTGCTAGGAAATTAGCGAAAATATTTAGAATATATTTTAAGTAATTAAAATACCAGTTTTTATCTATTTCTTTCAAACCAAAGTAAAGTCGAATTTTTTACAGTGTACCATATATTGCTGAGAAAGGTTGCTAGCAACATTTGGCGTGAAATTACTAAATACTGTATAAAAATCATTACGGCAATTTATATCAGAACTTTTTATTGACAGAAACATTTTTTATAGCAAAACTTTTTATAGCAACATTTTTTATAGCAACATTTTTATAGTAAAAATTTTAATAGCAAATATTTTTATCGCAAAATTTATTACTGCAATTTATATCAGAACTTTTTATTGACAGAAACATTTTTTATAGCAAAACTTTTTATGGCAAAATTTTTTTACAGCAACGTTTTTTATAGTAAAACTTTTAATAGCAAATATTTTTATCGCAAAATTGTAGTGAACATTTTTTAAAGCAAACATTTTATGGAACAATTTTTTATAGCAAAAAATTTTATATAATCATATCTTGTAGCAAAATTTTTTTAAAGCAATAATTAATAATTGTCGTATTGTGATTTTATGGTATAATTAGCTTTCAAAATAGTTTTTACACTGAAAAAATGTTGCCAGCAACAAATACGCCATTTTATATAGAAATGATTGCATTTTTTGCCCAGCAACTCTCTGACAAATACATATGAAGAAAATTTTCGACGAACGGTAACAAGTAAAGTGCAAGTTCTCAAAATATTTTTTAAACTAAAAAAATGCAACATGTTCAGCAAAGTTAGTTCTAAAATTACTTTCACAATCAAAAAATGTTGGCAACATTTTTTGCGTAACATGTTTATTTATG